TACAGTATCTTTATTAAATCTCCACTACGTGGCTCTTCCGATTTAATTTACAAAATGGAACAAAGAAAGAAGAAGGAGAAAAAGACTAATTTACAAATCTAATTGTTAATAATAAATAGAAAAATAGGAATAAAATTAAATTAAGAAATAGCTACAATAATATATCGTATATACTATATACATATACGTATACTTATTATTGACTTAGAAATGCTCTAACTATGAGATATAAAAACTGTTTTAGTCATGCAATCAGTCACCTAGTTCTCGGTGTGACATAGCTCCAGTTTTGCAGCGCGTTTAAAGCTAGTGAGCGTTTTGCTATTTCTTGCGCTTTCGCTTAGCGAGTTCCAAGTGTTGATAGACCGATAGTAAAAGGAACGTTGTGCAGTGGCTGTCCTGCACATAGGAACGTCTAGATTTTCCCTGAATCTGGAATTATAACTATGGGTTCCTGTTCTTTTATTGTTGTAGCTTTTTAGATAGGAGGGGGCAAGTCCATTCACTATTTTGCACAACTGTGTGACATCGCGTACTAACAGCAAATGTTTAATAGAGGATCAACACAGTTTCCGCAGGACTGTTGAGATATGGTCGAACTTCCTAGTATTAGTTAAAACTCGAGCACCAAAATTTTGTACAAGTTGCAGTTTTTGAATGTTCTGCTGAAAAGTGCCAGACCATACAGTAGAACAATAAAAGAGCTTGCTAAAAACCAAGCAATTCAAAATGGTGAAGAGTACTGACTTGGAAAATAGGTGCCTAACTTTGCTTATCTGACACAGAGTAGAGATAAGGGACGAAGTAAATGTATTTACACGTTCATTAAATGTAAGGGTCGAGTCTAGTATGATACCCAGGTCTTTGACTAAGGGTAAGGAAGCTAGGTTTTGGCCAAGAAAAGGAACTCTGATATCCGGAATTTTACTTATAAGCTGTCGCATTCCAAACACAAAAGGTTTGGTTTTACGAGGATTGATGACTAGCTTATTAGTACAGCACCAGGCGGCGATGAGACGAAGATCTTCGGTGACTTTAGTCAGGCAGAAGTCAATAGCTGTGGTCACACTACAGACTTTTTACCTAGGTAAACACGACTTGTTGACAGTTTACCGAGGGAAACTTGATTTTTTAAGTGTGACCGATTTTTCCCCAGGTAACTTACCTCGGGAAAATTTTATCGTCTGGGTCTTGGATATGTCTCGAAAACAATAGAGTTTCCATTGACAGCTACCCCAAAGCAATAGCTAGGGAAAAATGAAATACCGAGGTTGCTAGCCAATAGACGCTCATCGGCGAAGGTCTTGATGACAGAACCGAACATAGATCACGCTGTGCAAGTAATTTTGGGAGCACGAGTCGTCTAAATCTTTGCCTTTCTTCACCATTCACGTTGAATTAGCGTAAGAAATAACAGCGAGATAAACGAAAAAACGTCTCTTTGATCAGCTAGATCCTTGCGCATTTTGCCTTCTTGAATTTACGCTCCTAAAAATTCAACTGGCGTGAAAACTTTTGGAGCCGATATCAGTAGTGTGACCTTCCCAGAATTTTTACCTGGGTAAAACAAAACCCGAGATGAATTTACCTAGGCAGATTTTTGATGAAAGTCTGAAGTGTGACCACAGCTAATGTCCTTGGATGAGAACGAAAGGTAAACCTCGGTATCATCGACATATGACTCGACACTTGAAAATTTGACAACGGGGGGTAAGTCATTCATGTAGAGACTGAAATGGAGAAGCCCTAAAATGGACCCCTGAGGTACGCCATGTGTAACGATTAGCTCCTCAAAGTGGGATGTTCCTAGTCGTGTTTACTGCATATGGTGGTAAGGTAGCTCTGAAACCACTTCGACGCTTTACTTGACGCACCCAGCCCTTGCAACTTAAGAATGAGTGTCCTGTGACATGCTATCAAATGCCTTGCTTGGATCGATCAGGACCATAGCCGTTATCTCCTTCTTG